CAGCAAAGGTAATAGGTCTAAAGGGAGAGAGAGATTGTAACATGAGAATAATAATGGGGACCTTCTAGTCTCCGTAATGGACAGATCACCCATTCAGAAACTCAATAGGAAGCATGGTAGTTAGTTTATACACTAGACATAACAGGCCTAACAGAACATTCCTCCTGACTGTTGCAGAATATGGACAATTACCTCCATAAACTCATCCTAGAAAAAGTGCTGCAACCTCATTGCTGAATATCCCTAGGGTCATCTTTTAAGCACTCCCCTGGGGGAGCCACCCAAGGCCAGCACCTCGTCTACCCTTCAGAGTGATACTAGAACTTTTCTGGAATGCCCATTAGAGCTGTTGCAGTATGAAGTCTGATAATCAAGCATGTGAACGCGTCACTACATAGAATGTTGTTCAGAGATGTATAGATGTATATTTAGACCATGTCTTAGGCCACATGGTAAGTCTCAATTCAAAATGTAGAAGTCACATCACATCTTTTCTGTCCACAATAAAACTAGAAATCAGTAATAAGAGGAACCTCAGGAAACACACAAATTAGTGGAAGTTAGCATGTTTCTGAATAACCCATGTGCCAATGAAGAAATTGAGGAGAAAATTAAAAAATGTCTTGAAACAAATGGAAATGAAAATACCACGTACCAAAATCTCTGGGATATAGGAAAGGAGATAATAAGTGCAAATTTTGCAGCAATAAATGCCTCTAGCAGAAAAGTAAAAAGCCTTCCAACAAACCCCTACTGACACACCTTACAGGGATAAACTCAAAAGGAGCAGGAGGACGATGATAGATCAGAGCAGAATAAACTGGATTGAGACTCACGAAATACAGTAAATCAAGGAAACAAAAGGTGGCTTTTCGTAAAGATAAACAAGATTGACAGACCTTTAGCTAGACTAAAGGAAACAAGAGAAAAGAACCAAATAAATAAAATCAGAAATGAAAAAAAGAGACATAACAACGGAAACCTCAGAAATATGGAGAATCATTAGAAACTATTATGAACAACTATACGCCAAGAAACTGGAAATCCATAAAAATGGACGAGTTCCTGACACACAGCCTAGCGAGGTGGAACAGTGGAGACACGAAAACCTCGATAAGCTGATACCAAGTAATGAGATCAGAGCTGTAATAGAAAAATCTCCCATCAGAAAAAGCCTGGCTCCTGATGGATTCACTGCTGAATTCCACCAAATGTAGAAAGAACGAGTACTAATCCTACCCAAGTTCTTAAAAAAATTAAGAGTACTTCCAAACTCATTCTATAGGCTTTGCCTTAATACGAAAACTGTATTCACAACAACAACAAAAGGAAACTACAGTCCAATATCACTGATGAATGCAGATGCAAAAATCCTCAATAAAATACAGCAAATTGAATTCAAAAGCACAGTAAAAAGATCATTCACCGTGATCAAGGGGGATCCATCCCAGGATACAAGGATGGTTGCAAACACAAGCAAACCAATAAATGTGATACACCATGCTAATAGAATCAGAGCGAAAACCATACCAGTGTTTCAATAGATGCCAATTTCAATTGATGAAATCTAACATCGCTTTATTATAAAATCTCCCATCAAAATGGATACAGAATGAACGTACCTCCACATGATAAAGGCCGTCTATGACAAATCCCTTGCTAACATCACACTGAGTGAGGGAAGACTGGAGACTTTTCATCTAAATACTGAACAAGACAAGGGTGTCCATTCTCCTGTTCTTATTCAACGTACTACTGGTGGTCCTGGCCAGCGCTATCAGGCATGAGAAAGAAATAAAGGACACCCATGTTGGAAAGAAAGAAGTTAGCCTTGTTTGTGGATGACATAATCTTATATTTAGAAAAATCCAAAGACTACACCAAAAAACTGTTAGAATTGATAAACTCAGCACATCTGCAGGATACAAAATCAACATACAAAAATCAGTAGCATTTCTATATACCAGTAATAATCTGGCCAAAATAGAAATCCAGAAAGCAATACCATTTGTGAGAGGTAAAAAATATTTAAAACACCTAGGAATCAATCTAACCAAAGGGAAAGATCTATACAAGTAAAACTATAAAACGTGGATGAAAGGAACAGAGGCAGACACGAAAAGACAGAGAGACGTTCCAGACTCCTGGGTTAGAAGAATCAGGTTTTCTTGGCTTTAAAACTGTTTCGGTTTACCGAGGTCCAGAGATAACATCGCTATTTTGAGTGTGGCAGATTAGATTCTCCTCTTTGTTAAGAAGAGGTGACGCCACTTCAGGGAGCAGGACCGAACAGACGAGACTACGAATAGCCATACCTTCAAACGTAGTTTTGCGAACAACGACCAAAAAATGTGGATGTGTGTGGAAGGGTGCTGAGGTTCACTGTTTCCATTTTTATTCCTTTCAGCTTTCCAGAGTTTCATTCTGACCTGATTCCACTAGGGCACAGCCACAATAAAAAACTACTGAGTCTCCTTATTCTCTGCTTATTTGGACTGAACACAGCAAAAAGAGAATAAAACCAATCACCAGTGTCAAACCATCCCTGGCAAGTTTATATCTTTAGCCATCTATGTACTGTCTGCCTACCATCTATCTGGATATCTAAATATTTATATCCATACATACAACAATAAAGTAAAGAGTATATAAACTGTTAAAATGTATTGCTCTAAGAAGTATACAGTACAAAAAGTAAACCCACAGTATAGTTAAGTGTAATTTACATCTTATGTATCCATATGCATGTTATTCAAAGTAATTACCTTAATCAATGTCTATATTTTTTTGTTATAAAAAATCTACAATGGGCTCGGCGCCTGTGGCTCAAGCGGCTAAGGCGCCAGCCACATACACCTAAGGTGGCGGGTTCGAATCCCCAGCCTGGGCCCACCAAACAACAATGATGGCTGCAACCAAAAAATGGCCAGGCATTGTAGCAGGCACCTGTAGTCCCAGCTACTTGGGAGGCGGAGGCAGGAGAATCACTTGAGCCCAGGAGTTGGAGGTTGCTGTGAGCGTGATGCCATGGCACTTTACCCAGGGGGATAGCTTGAGGCTCCGTCTCAAAAAAAAAAAAAAACTACAATGACTAAAATATCTACCAACCACATAGAGAAGAATGAAATATTGAGACCTTATAAAGTAAACTGTTTCTGGTAATTGATAAGGCATTTCAAGCCCTTAATTTTGCCGGGAATTAATATTAGTGAGATGAATTAGTATTCCAATCAGTTACTGTATCTATTTTATTATATAAATCGACATTGTCCTTCAGTGAGTCACTCTGGCAATATTTTAAGATATTTCAATGTATTTTCATATTTTTTGTCGGATACATATGAAATTATTTCTGAAATTGTGCATCAGTCTAAATCTTAGCTTTCCTTTTAGAGAAAAGTTTCTGTAAAACTATCATGAAAACGAATCTTTTATTGTCTAGAGTTACAGGCCTAACCCTTGACAAAACCCAACAGTATCATTACATCACTTCCAACCCATCCTTATGTTATTTGAATTAAGGTGTCACTTTTTTTGCCTTGATATGTGATTGTTATTATTTAGTATTTTTAAGCAAATAGCAATATATGTATGTTTACATTTAAATAAAAATAACCTTATATTACAAGCCTGTTTTCTAATTAATTCTAGTTACAGGAATGGGCACAATTAGTTTTGTCCGATCATGATCCTTGGACAGTGTTGGTGTGGCCACTGGCATTTGTGGAGGAAAGGAAAAGGCGAGAAACTCGTCTCCTTTTTCTGATTCTTAAAATCACCAAACCAGCTGCTCTTGCTTTCCTCGACCCTCTAATCCTTTTCTTATTAAATATTTTCTTATACGAATAAATAGCACAAATAGATAATAACTAAATGTTCAATACAGGTAGTCAAACCTGCCATAAGGGAACTCAGTTAAAACTTTTTGCCTTCAAGAAAATCTTTAACCGTTAATCTCCACTAATGAAATTCCATTGGTTTGAAACCCCGGCAAGCAAACAGCACTACAAAAATACCCCAAAATATTTCTTTCAACAGAAATTTTTTGTTTTGTCAAATGTGGTGGTTTTAATATCAGCAAAAGCTAAATAGGAAAGAAAAACATATCAAATGCCCGATTAGGCTGAAGGTCGTATTTGGCGATTCCTTTACCAGCTGTTTATTGGATGCTTGTTATGTTCAAGTCCACGGTGCTTAGAGAATGCTGGATGAGCAAGTGTTTTCAGCTGTGTGTGTTTTAGCCTTATTTTCTTCGTTTCTTGCTTTCTCCCGTGTTGGCCAGCTGTTGGCCAACTGCTTGTAGCTGAATACTTTATTTTAAGAACAAGAGTATTCATTTTAAGACAAAAGGGAAAGAAGAGGAAGACGACTGCTGAAGTTGGGCGCCCACTAGTGTTCGTCAAACACCTGCTAGCGTAATGGATTTAGTAATTTGATTCATCTGGCAAGCCATTCCCAGGCTAGTCGTTAACTGGCCACTCATCAGTAGGAAAACTACACAGACTAAGTATTTATACCTGGCCCCCTTTGGCATGCAGCCTCTCCGTGGGGTTTCTATGTCAAGGTTTTGGCTAAACTTTACAACTTCTGCGAGCAGGTTTATATAGCATTTCATTCCTGAGCCTGAAGTCAGTCTCCTGAACTGATATTTAATCCCATCAAGGAGAAAAGATGCCAAGAAAGAAATCCTTTGTAAAACACAGCATGAAACAGACCTCCGCGTTAGCTTTGCTTCTGATCATGTGCTTTGTATAATGTTTTAGTCAAGTTCTTGTGCCAAATTGGGTCCGTAGTAATTTTTGAAATAATTTTTACCATGAGTGTATAAAATAATAGCTTTTAAAAAGCCACTGTAAATCTCAGAGCTCCCACTGTGGCCAGTGACAGCTGATAGATGGAAGTGGGGAGAGCAAGGACTACAAATACAATGCCATTTGCACGACTCTGCCCCCTGAAGGAAGCTGATGGCGGTGCTGCTTGATTATCGTAAGGTTACTTGCCTTGCAAACTGTAGATTTCTCCAACGCTGTTCTGACGTGTGATGTGATGCCAGTATGCGCTCCGAGGGAGAGATATTGATTTGGATAATGTCATTGGTTCAGTCAAGCTTGTCTGAAGCTAAAAGAAAATGAAAATGTATTTTAGGCTTTAAATATTAAACTGGAATCTGCTCTTTTAAAGGTTGAGGGTTAAATGGGAATGACATCTCAGAATTGGTTCTAGACACCTGCACAATCCTCTGTTTAAGGATAAATTCTCAAAAGGTAAAATCATTACTCAAAAGTAGGAAATCGTAAACGATTTCATCTATCTCATGAAGTAAGAAGGGAACATCAAGATGGCACAACTGATTCCAAGGAGAATGGCTTCCAGCCAATCGGGAATGTTGGCAAATGTTCAGGGCAGTCATCAAGTGCATTCCAGCAGACAAATGTGTTTGCATTTCTATGGCCAAGAAGGATTTGGGTCATTTCCAGCTTCCAACAATTTCCAGAAGTGTAAAATAACTCAAAAAATGAAAGCACAAGCCCCTTCAGAAACATACCCCAGAACGGCGCCAAGCACAGGCTACTTATTAATTTCTTTTTTACCCATTCCAGTCTCTTCAAGTTTCCCCTGGCATCTACTGACACCCTTACCCAGTGGTTATTTTCTCAAATGGATCTATATCCTTGCACCTGTCATAGAACTTGCACATATTGAAAAAGTGTTTTCGCTGAGACTCTTTGATAAAATTGTGGTGCATTTTCTTATTTGAAACCTATATTTTAAGGTTAGCTGAGAGGATCCACACACCACTGTAGCACTCGCTCAGGCATATGATCAGTTCAATGAACAAAAATAGTTTACATGGCATTTTCAAGAAACAAATTTATTTTTATTGATACAAGAACAGGGTTCAAGAAACACAGAAGAGGCTTTATTTGATCTTGGACACAACTTGAGAAAATATTTACTTTTTGACAGACAATGGACTGTCCTCTAATTAATAAAATCTCATATTCTTTTTTCCCCTACTTAATGCCTTATTCTTTGCAAAACTTAGAGTTGTTAAGATTGTCTCTATTAAATCTATCCTTAGAGTTTCTCTCTGCACTTTGCCCCTGTGGCCCTTGGAGCCCTGGTTTTTCCCCACGTCGCACACTGCCTCAACCAGCATGCGTGTGACTGTTACTATATACAGGAAAAACCTTCATATAAGATGGCTCTCAGGGAAGTATCTGATGATGTGGCTGGTCATTTAAATCCACATAAAACTAAGAGGCTTTTACATTTTAATAGAAAGTATAGCCAAAAAACTTCATTTTTTTAAAAAAAATTTTGCTTTTTAGTAGTGAGGCATTTCTAGAACTCCTATATCTTGTCATAGAAGAAAAAATTAACAGGCCTGGTGGTGCACACCTGTAGTTTCAGCTACCTGGGAGGCTGAGCTGGGAGATCAATGGAGCCTGAGAGCCAGAGGTTGCAGTGAGCTGTGATCCTGCCACTGCACTCTAGTCTGGGCAACAGGGTGAGACCCTGTCTGAAAACAATCAATCAAACAAACAAAAAAGGTGCCAGTCTATACAAAAGCCTAGCCTTGCTGAACCAACATACACTCATTCCTTCCTTCCTTCCTTCCTTCCTTCCTTCCTTCCTTCCTTCCTTCCTTCCTCCCTCCCTCCCTCCCTCCCCCTCTCTCTGTCTCTCTCTCTTTCTTTCTCTCTTTCTCTTTCTTTCTTTCTTTCTTTCTTTCTTTCTTTCTTTCTTTCTTTCTTTCTTTCTTTCTTTCTTGAAGATGGCTTCAAATAGTAACATAGCAACCAATCTATATTTTTTTAAATTTTGTATATTCTAAAGTTTTCCTCCTTTTTGCCAAAATAAGTATACTGTCCATGTCCATATCCTGTGGTTGGTGTGTATGTGTATGTGTTGCAAAAAAGAAAACAAATTTCTGGGTTACCATTGAGCGGGCCTTCCAGAATTTTAGAAACGCTTGTTAACAATGTCCATTTCCAGTATTCTTCAAGTCTCCTCAGCAGCAGCCATTAATAACATCAATTAATCCATAAATCCAGTCTCATATTAATCTCAGTTCTGTCTACTGACTACTTTTTATTTTTTCTAGTATATTATAATTTGTTACTTAGCGTACAATAGATTGTCAGTGATAAATTAATCTTTCCGAAATTCAATGAAAGTGCTTTTCTTTTTTTTTTTTTTTTAATTCTAGGAACCATTTTTCTTCCTAACTGATCAGTCTCAAGCCTCTTGGAAACACAGTAAGCATATTTTGTTTGCTGGAAACAAGTAAGTGGAAACCCCTGGCGACCAATGTCCTCCGGACACGTTTCCGTCTGAAGCGGCCCGTCCTGGTTCTCGCCCCCCGACCCTCCAGTTCACACTCCTCACTGTGTTCAAGGGCTCGGAAGGTTTCCATGGTATTCCACTGCCTCATTGGCGGCTGTGGTTCCTCTATATTCTACTTTCACATTTAATTACAGAAAAGTGGAAAATTTGTGTTTAAAAATTTGATTGTGGGAGGGGGAGGATGGGTGAAGAGAATGATATTGTGGGGATCACGCCTATAATTTATCCTATTAGGGTACATGTGAATTTATCTAAAGGTTGAATATAAATGTCTTAACACAACAATTATGAGAAAGACATGATGGCTATGTTAACCAGTTGGATGAGAGTTTTCCAAACTGCACATGGAAGCAGCACACTGTATCCTATGATAGAATTAATGTACACAATTATGATCTAATAAAAAAAAAGAAAAAAAAATTTGATTGTGGATTCTTCTCAGATCTTTGCCAAAAATGCAAATCTTATCCACTCTCTCAGATGTGTGAGGCTCTCCCAGGCCCTCGAGGTTACATCCAGCATTCGTAACTGTGTGTGCTGAGTGCTGCTGTGAACTGAATCACAAATTCAGAGGCTGAAGCACTATCCTCTGAAGTGACCATATTTAGAGGTAGGGCCTTGGAAGAAGTCAATTCAGGTGAAGGAGGACATCAGATGGGACCCTAATCAAACAGGACTGGTGTCTTTACAAGAAGAGGAAAAGACATCAGGATGAATGATCACAAAGAGAAGACTGTGCAGGGTAGTGCCTGTGGCTCAGTGAGTAGGGTGCTAGCCCCATAAACGGGAGGTGGTGGGTTCAAACCCGGCCTCGGCCAAAAAAAAAGAGAGAGAGAGGGAGAGAGGGAGAGAGAGCGAGCGGTGCAAAGGCATTGGAAAGACTTTGCAAGCAAAGGAAAGCAGTCCTGGAGGAAACCAGTCTCACCGGCATCTTGCTGTTGGACTTCCAGAAATTGAACTGTGAGAAAATATCCTTCTGTTGTTTAATCCACCCAGTCTGTGGTATTTTGTTACCGCAGCTCCAGCAAACTGATACAGGTACTCTGTGCCCTGGGCGATCTAAGAGACGATGTGGAACCTCTATGATTTATCTGGAAATTTTTACTATTATTACGGATTTTAAAGCAATGCATTATAAACTGGCCTTGATGTGCACCATGACCAGGACAATGTAACAATATTTCAAGTGCTTTTATTAGAGAATTTTTTGGGTTCTAATTTTAAACTACTGATAAAACATTGTTTGGTGAGAAGGTTCAACAAGAGGACATGCATCTTCACTATTTTTAACTAAAAAATCATCCTTAATTATTTTCCCATGATAATAATGCTTTAATTAAACTCGCTATGATAAAAATAAAACTAAAATGCCATAGTCCTTTCTTAATTGAGAGAACAAAGTGTCAATTTGACCTAAACGAAGGCTGCATTAAAAAAAACTTAGACATGATGGATACAGGTCTTCAAAGCTCTTTTATTCTATCTCTGTGCAGACCTGCTCTGTTGATATTTTGATGGCCATAGGACAAAATTTCTCAAGGGGCAAAAGCATTCACAGTCTCCTGCATCCCCTGTGTTTCCCACAGTCTGTCTCCCACAGGCAACACACCCCTGCTTTTCCTTGTGCGTAAGGTCAAGAATCAGAAAGCACGCTTCCCCTTAGGTGCAGAAATCAACTAGATAGGGAAGCAAGTTCATTCAGTTCTTGATACTCTTACCCTAACTTTTTGCTGATGTGTGGGGCTCTAACTTTTTCTTTATCCCATCCTTTTAAAATAGCAGTTTCCTGGGCGTGAGCCATGAATCCAAAGTCCCTTACTTAGCATCCGGAAAGAGTAGTGATTGCAGCCCAGCGAACTCCGGAAAGCAGTTCTCCATGAGAGTAGCAACCCACACATCTTAAAAGCCACTGTGCAAAGGATTAATCTAGACCAAAGTGTGTGACGTGGACATTAAGTTAATGCTTTTATTTTAGTGTCACAAAGGTGAGAGCTGCGCTGTCCTCACACTGATGAGATAGGAAACCCCAAAGCAAAGAACCTTCCATTTAGAGGATTCTCAGAAGATGCAGACAGGGCGCCTATCTCTGCTGTCTGCTATTTAGGCAATAAGTAAACAAATTTATTTTTTCTTTGTAAACATTTGAGATTTGTAGCTGACATCAAGGAGAGATTCCATCCCTCGTCTCATTCCTCCTCTAGACCTTGAAAGACTCTTTTGAACACATTTGGTTGAAAGGGTCATTTTTAGGAACACGTCTCCCATGGTCACTCTGGTTTTGCATTTCTTGTGAGAACTGTTTTCTTACTATCTTTTCAGGGATATTTGTGTAGCAAACAGCCTCAGAAGATGTAGTATTTTCCTCCAGGGCAGATTTGTTCCTTGACCAGGAGAATACGGACGGTAAAGTCTTCTTCCAAGGCAAAAGCTGGGCAGCCCTGCTAGAGCCACCTTACAAGCCCGGTGTTCCCCACATTCAGGTCCTGTGGCTCTGGCAACACACAGCACTCACCGGGGCTGGACTCCGTGACCTCAAGGGACTTGGGGACCAGGGACACTTACGATGCTTGCTGTGCCACTGTAGTAAAGTCCTTCTTCTCTGACCTGGGAGAGTTTTGTGTTTTCTGCCAACACCCAGGAAACTGTGGCAGGTGAAGCAGGGAGAGACGGCAGCGTCTTTCCACTTTGTTCGTCTGTCAGTTGTCTCTGCCCGTCCTGCACCTGAATCTAAACTCTCACCGGTCTCCTCTTTCGAATCGTTCAGTGGA